CACGTAGGCTGTATGCTTAACTATTCCTCCGGTAGACAGTACAACAGGTGTGTTTGAGGTGAGAGAGGGAGGGAAGGGGGTGGGGGGTGGGGGGAGTATTAGTCTCTTAATTGAACCACATGAAAGGCAGATAAAAATATCCCTCACACACACACACACACACACACACACACACACACACACACACACAGCCACGGAAGCAAGCAAGCATCCCAGTACGCAAGGAAATAATCATACATTCTTAAGCCTCATCCGGGAAGGCAGGGTCGGTCAAACAAACAAACAAACAAACAAACAACAAAAACTGTGGTATATTGGTGACGCACGCTAGAAGCAGGTCTTGGAGTTCACACACCCGGAAGATTAAGAGTGCTGAGGGAAAACCAGAACTAGGAGGTGGTGCTGGGAGCTAGGAAGGAGGTGGTGCTGCTGGGAACTGGGTGAAGGAGATAGTGCCGGGAGTTAGAAGGGAGGTGAAGGTGCTGGGAGCTAGGAGGGAGGAGGTGGTGCTGGGAGTTAGGAGAGAGGGGGAGGTGCTGGGAACTAGGAGGAGGTGCTGGGAGTTAAGAGGCAGGAGGTGGTGCTGGGAGCTAGGAGGGAGGTGGAGGTCTCTTTCTGTCTATCAATCTGCATGTATGTCTGTCGATCTGTCTGTCTGTCAATTTGCCGATCAGTGTGCCTGCCTATATATGTCTGTCTGCCTGTCTCGTCTCTCATTCTACTAACCTGTCTGTCTCTGCCTATCAACCTGTCTGTCTGTCTCTCACCGTCAGAACAGGATCACTATCTCTCGTGTATTTAAATCTCTCTCAGCCGGTCTTCCTTCCCACTCGCCAACAATATTTAACTCAATAGGTCAGAGGTCACGAGGCTGAAGGCTAGATGGAGAGAGAGAGAGAGAGAGAGAGAGAGAGAGAGAGAGAGAGAGAGAGAGAGAGAGAGAGAGAGAGAGAGAGAGAGAGAGAGAGAGACAAAAGACAGTCGTCAGGGGTAACTACATATTAACTCACAGTAACAGCCTCACTAGTTAAGCTATCCACCCTGCCATGGTAACGGCTCGAGGTGCAGTGTTTACATCCGCTAGTACATTTTAATTTATTGTGTTACTTATTCACAGTGTTATAATCTAAAGAGTTACTCATTTTACAGGTCATTAACTTTACACGGTACTTATTTCACATCGTTATGAAGCGTTACTCATTTTACACGGTACTTATTTCAGTGTTATTATCTTATCGTTACTTATTTTACGGGAAACTTTACACGGTCCTTATATCTATCCAAGAAACTCACATAGGAATCTCGTGTTATCATTTCCCCCTTAAGTAAACATACACGCCCATACACCTTATCTGCCTTATCAAACCTCACATAGATGAGAGTGATAGTGTGTCCCTATAGATATGAAGGCCAGTGTTTACAAAGCCTTCAGTACACAAGGAGGGGTGTGGGGGGGGTAGCATAGCCGGTACTACACATGACTACTCTGCCTTCACTTCCCTAAAATGTACAGTGAGGTGCTGTATTTGTTTACAGCTGGGTAGACGGGGAGTAAATACACCCTGGGATAATACCATCGACCAATAGGACAGGAGGTGAGTACTGTAACCACTTGACCACCGCAGGAAAAACAGCTAAAATGGTGTCGAAATTACGCTGAGGACTCTTCTCATCTCTAAGTTCGAGCGACAGACCGACAGAAATGCACACAGAGAGAGAGAGAGAGAGAGAGAGAGAGAGAGAGAGAGAGAGAGAGAGAGAGAGAGAGAGAGAGAGAAACAGACAGACAGATAGACACAGACAGGCAAAACAGATACACAGACAGACAGACAAAAAGAACAGAAAGACAAACTAAAAGAACAGATAAACAGACAGAGACAGACAGACAAAAAGAAGAGACACAAACAGACAGACAAAAAGAACAGAGACATAGACAGACAGACAGACAGGAAAAAAAAATAAAACATGGGGAAATCTGAGAATGAGGTTTGAGGGTCACCTGGGGGCGTCTACTCTCACCAAGACCACCAGGAAAGGAACGTCTAGGACCCCGAGTGTGATGTGTTCTCAGCTCTCAACACTCTCAGCCCCCGAGTCCACAACACTATCACCCTTGTTTACCCTCCCTCTCACCCTCCTTCCTTCACTCCACTCACCCACACAATCCCCCACTCCTCACCCACACAATCCCCCACTCCTCACCCACACAATCCCCCACTCCTCACCCACACAATCCCCCACCTCACCCACACAATCCCCCCCACTCCACTCTCCACCCACACACAATCCCCACCCTGACCCACAATCCCCCACTCCCTCACCCACACAATCCCCCACCCACTCACCCACACAATCCCCCACCCTGACCCACACAACTCCCCCCACCTCACCCACACATCCCCCACCCTCACCCACACAATCCCCCACTCCTGACCCACACAATCCCCCACTCCACTCACCCACACAATCCCCCACTCCACTCACCCACACAATCTTTCTCTCTCAGTTGTTCTTTAGTTCTATTCTCTCTGTTTCTTTGTCTTCATTTCTTCTTTCTATCTTTATTTCTTCTCTCACACTCACTGTTTTCCGTTTCCTCCCTCCCTCCCCCTCTCTCTCTCTCTTCCTTTCATTAAGGGCCAATTAACCTGCACCTTATTCCACCACGCCCAGGTAAGTCTTCTAATTTATTTCTCCCTTTGACCTGTTTAAGGATTTTATGGGGTCAAAGGTCATAAAAAAACACAAACAAAACACGTACAGGTATATTCTTAACACTATTTCGGGCAGATTTACACCAATTAAGATGAAACGATAAAATTACAGGGTGATGATGAAAAAAAAATTATGTCCGTTATAATTCTGATGCATCTAAAAATCCGGGTATCTTTTTTTTTTTTTGCATGACCCTGTAGTATATTTTGCTATAACGTCTATTTTTTTTAACAATTAAGAATTTTATTGCATTTTGCTTAATTTATGAGGTGATTTTAAAGTTAATTGTGATTCTTTTTTTGGGGGCATTTGGTCATGTTTGTTGTTGTTGTTGTTGTTGTTGTTGTGTAACGGGCTAAAACACACACAATTACCTTAAATGAAGGACAAATATATGGGAAAATAATCTCGGGAAAGAGAATTAAGGGAAAAAAGGAGATCAAAGATAAGCAAATAATAGAGAGGAGACAGAAAAACAGAGGAGACAGTAAACAGAGGAGACAGTAAGCAGAGGAGACAGTAAACAGAGGAGACAGTAAGCAGAGGAGACAGTAAACAGAGGAGACAGTAAATGAGGAGACAGTAAACAGAGGAGACAGTAACAGAGGAGACAGGAAACAGAGGAGACAGTAAACAGAGGAGACAGTAAACAGGAGGAGACAGAAAACAGAGGAGACAGTGTAAACAGGGGAGACAGTAAAACAGGGGGAGACAGTAAACAGGAGGAGAGTAAACGGAGGAGACAGTAAACAGAGGGAGACAGTAAACAGAGGAGACAGTAAACAGAGGAGACAGTAAACAGAGAGACAGGAAACAGAGGAGACAGTAAAACAGAGGAGACAGTAAACAGAGGAGACAGAAAACAGAGGAGACAGTAAACAGAGGAGACAGTAAACAGGGAGACAGTAAACAGAGGGAGACAGAACGGAGGAGACAGTAAACAGAGAGACAGTAAACAGAGGAGACAGTAAACAGAGAAGACAGTAAACAGAGGAGACAGGAAACAGAGGAGACAGTAACAGAGGGAGACAGTAAACAGAGGAGACAGTAAACAGAGGAGACAGTAAACAGAGTGAGACAGTAAACAGAGGGAGACAGTAAACAGAGGAGACAGGAAACAGAGAGACAGTAAAATGAGGAGACAGTAAACAGAGGAGACAGAAAACAGAGGAGACAGTAAACAGGGAGACAGTAAAACAGGGGAGACAGTAAACAGAGGGAGACAGTAAAACGGAGGAGACAGTAAACAGAGGAGACAGTAAACAGAGGAGACAGTAAACAGAGGGAGACAGTAAACAGAGGAGATACAGGAAACAGAGGAGACAGTAAACAGAGGAGACAGTAACAGAGGAGACAGTAAACAGAGGGAGACAGTAAACAGAGGAGACAGTAAACAGAGGAGACAGTAAACAGAGGAGACAGTAAACAGAGGAGACAGCAACAGGGGAGACAGTAAACGGAGGAGACAGTAAACAGAGGAGACAGTAAACAGAGGAGACAGTAAACAGAGGAGACAGTAAACGGAGGAGACAGTAAACAGAGGAGACAGTAAACAGAGGAGACAGTAAACAGAGGAGACAGTAAACAGAGGAGACAGTAAACAGAGGAGACAGTAAACAGAGGAGACAGTAAACAGAGGAGACAGTAAACAGAGGAGACAGTAAACAGAGGAGACAGTAAACAGAGGAGACAGTAAACAGAGGAGACAGTAAACAGAGGAGACAGTAAACAGAGGAGACAGTAAACAGAGGAGACAGTAAACAGAGGAGACAGTAAACAGGGGAGACAGTAAACAGAGGAGACAGTAAACAGAGGAGACAGTAAACAGAGGAGACAGTAAACAGAGGAGACAGTAAACAGAGGAGACAGTAAACAGAGGAGACAGTAAACAAGAGGAGATAAGAGGTGTAGCCATGTACTCCCGAGAAAGATAAAGCGTAAATGTACTCCCAGCCGATGTAGTACTCATAAAGTTACTTGTTTACACTCGTTCACCATCTTGGCATGGCTAGCATTCACAGACGACAGGGGCATGACAAAAACTAAACCCTCTATCGTCGTCAATATTTAAATTCCCGTAATAAACAATCATACGACAAGCGGCAATTAAGTGTTCCAGAAGGAGTGCGTTTGCCTTGAAGCACCGCACCCCAACGATACATGCAGGGAGGTAAGGAAATAGCGAGGTGTGTGTGTGTGTGTGTGTGTGTGTGTGTGTGTGTGTGAGACCCCGTGTAGGGTAGTATAAGCAGGGGAAGGAGGGGCCCCCGCCTGGGTATATATACGGTGCCGAAGCCTTCATCACGTTCAGTGCCCGCTGCCCAGACGGTGACGACAGACATGTGGACTCCTGTGAGTGTCTAGTGGTGTGTCCCCCTCCCCCTCTCCCCCTTTTCCTCTCTTTCCTCCCCAATTCCTCAAGTCTTGGCAATTTCTGACGTTCTTTGCATAAGTGTGTTTTTTTTTAAATGACTTATACTGAGTTATTGTTTTAAATATCTGTGTGTTTACGGATATATCTTTAACACATTATATGATATTAAGGTGTTACGTGTGTGGTGTGTCGAGGGTGACGTAAGGGCGGCGGGCGAGTGTAGGAACAAGGTGATGATGATGCCTCAGTTCCCGCTGGGGTCAGTGTAGCCAGGGACAAGACCTCACCTAACGGGGGTTCCTCCTCCACCCGAAACACCATACTCTTGTTACCTTTTCCTCCTCTTCCACCACCACCTCCTCCTTCTTCAACACCAGCCTCCTCCTCCAATACCACCACCTCCTCCTCCAACACCACCTCCTCCTCCACTATCACCACCTCTTCCACCACCACTACCACCACCACTACCACCACCACCACCTGTGTTTACCATTATCCACATTCAAAACATATCAGGTATAACACACGTACGCAACACGACCTAAACCATAACAAAATATAAACATCAGAAAAGACAGTGAACTTCGAGGTCTTTTCTCTATAGTCAAGTGAAAGAGAAGTTGAAATATTAGAAACTCGTGAACATTATGATTTGTTTATCTCGTGTAGAACAAGACCTGAGTGTGTGTGTGAGTATGTGTGTGTGTGTGTGTGTGTGTGTGTGTGTGTGTGTGTGTGTGTGTGTGTGTGTGTGTGTGTGTGTGTGTGTGTGTGTGTGTGTGTGTTTTACAGAACCTTGTTACGTAGGTTAATATATGCTATAATATAATAATGATGAGACTTTCTTGCTTCCTATATAAAAAATGACTAATGTATTTGAACTCTCGTGTGTGTGTGTGTGTGTGTGTGTGTGTGTGTGTGTGTGTGTGTTGGGTTAGGTTAGTGAAGATATTTAGATATATTCAATACGACATAGAACCATGGCTCATGAGTGACAGAGGCTGTGTTAATGTACGGAGTTCAGTAAGTGAGGGTAGTGTGGTGGTGAGGACAGTGTGGCAGTAAGGGGGTGTGGCAGCAAGTGCTTAGTGTGAGGATTTGCTACATCTCAGAGTCACTTCAAGCTGTTAAATTTACATGTTGGTGTCAGGTGTCATATCTCAACTCGTAGAATTAATAAATGCCTGATCTTAGCTCTTACAAAGTGTCAGGTGTCAGTTATTAGGTCGCGGGATGTCATTGTTTGTCTCGTGTTAAGTCTTAGATTTTGCGGAATATCAGGTGTCAGGTCTTAGGTATCAGGGTGTTACTTTTTGTCTAGTGTCAGATGTCAGGGTGCCATGTTCGGAGTCAAGAGTGTCAGGTGTCAGGCATTGGGGTGCCATTTGTCAGGTGCCACATTCGGTGTCAAGAGTATACAGTGGAGACAGGTGGTCAGGGTTGCCCACCAATTACCTGGCATTGAACTTCCCTCTTTTTCACGGGTTGTTTACGCTTGGACTAGACCTTCACGTTCTTACTGATGGGGAGAAAAACAACATTAACACGACCTTAACTCTCCTGGCTGGCTGGCTGGGTGGGTGGCTGGCTGGCTGTCTGGGTGGCTGGCTGGCTGTTAGAATATTCAATGGCTCTCTTGATTAACTGACGAACACACACACACACACACACACACACACACACACACATAAATCAGGATTAACATTACATCTTTGTGTTCTCATAAGGTGATAATGAATAAATTCTCTGAACCAACATATAGGACTATGAGACAAAATCCCGTTCGTGTGGGAGGAAAAAACTGGTTTCCCTTGAGATGGTGAGATAGTGTCTGTGTCTGTCTGTATATCTGTCTGTCTGTCACTGAATCTGTCTATCTGTCTGTGTCGCTGTATATCTCTGTCTGTCCGTCTGTTTCCTTAATTAACTACACACGTGTAACTACAATGTATATTTATACCTGTAAACATCTAGACCGTATGTGCCATAAGTTACCGCCTTTTAGTGAAGAACCCATTAGTTGAAGTCTTCCCTCACATCTTAAGAACCTTGTTTACTGTTGACAGAAAGTTGTTTTTTAAAAGACTCTTAAGTAATGGTCCATAATCATTTGTCACCTCCCAGTACGAGTATTATTCAAGGTATATAGCCCATCACCTCTCTATAGCCGACCATCATATAAAACTCACATCAGAATATAAACGAGGAGTAAAAAAAAATATATATATTTATACATCGTAGATCAAAACGTATGGGATAAACTGATAGGGATTTAGTTTATATTCAAGGTCTTTTTCATGAGGTAGTTTGGAGCCATCTACTGCGGGTCTTGTCCTGGCTGGGGGATACGATAACACAGTTCCTCCCCCAGAGACTCTTTTGAGACTTTCCCGCCATCTCTACCGTCGACCGTTTACGAGACAGCGACGGGAGACAAACTTATAAACAGCTCGTTAGTTTGGGAAAAACTGGTATCCTCAAACAAGGTGGGTGGGAGGGGTGAAAGATGAGTGTCTGTTGGTATGTAGTAAATCGTCATTGCCTTCATCTCGACGCCGTAGTTATCACTTAGTATTGTCAACTGGTGGTATCACGTCCTCATCTAGCTGTAGCCTATCACATTATCGTCGCTTCAACTGATAACTTCACCTTTTCCTCGGCCAGTTGTGTTATTAATGATCCTTTACAATACTTCCTCAGGTGGTTGTGTTGCTCCTGGTGGCGTCGGTGAAGGCTGTGGCTGAGGCGGAGGCCGAGGCCGAGGCCGAGGCAGACCCGGAACCCTTCCTTCCACTGGTGTACCCGCAGTATGCCACCACCTGGGCTGCACAGCAGTTCGGCACACCGTCAGAGATATCTGCCGCCGGGGCCTTCGCCACACAACGTCAAGAATTATACCCAGAATCCTCAAACTTTGGTTTTCGTCCGGCAAAGTCACCTCCGTCTCCTCTCTTCGCCATCCGTGACGTCCATACTCCTCAACGTGTCATCGCGGACCATCGTCAGCCCTCATTCACAAATGCTTTCCCGGTATTGCGTCAGCCTTTCGTTTATGCTCCTCAAATTCCTCAGTCGCTCCTGATTCACACTATCCACCTGCGTGTCCCTGATACAACCGAGCAAGACCACATCCCCGTCCCTGTGACGGCGCCCACATCACTTAGCTTCGCCAGCCAGCATACAGCCCAGATCCCCTTCATCCGCCAAGGCTCAGGACCCACCTTTTTGGGTCTTATTCCTTTTCCCTCCTACCCCTCCTTCACTCGGCAGGCCGGTCTTGGCCCCACAACGGGCACCAGGGTCTCTGAAGAAGAAAAGGAAGACGACGATTCAAGCCTTAATTACATCCTCCTGCCACACTTCCCGACACAACTGGCACCTCTGACGAGTCTCAGAGACATGGGCAGTGAACCGGTCATACCTGCTGGCATCGTTCAGTCCACACAGCCAATCTTCAGAGAGGTCTTGTTCAGGAACGACAAGGCTCACCCAAGCCTCCTAGACAAGAAACCTGCGAAGGACGGCGCTGTGGAGACTGTGTAAACTCCTGTCAAGTGTCTGTTTGCCTGTGTATGTGTGTGTATGCATACCCAGGAGACCCTCTCGGCTTCCTTGGTGCTACACTCTCCAAACACTGAGGCTTACGAGGGGTTCTGGAGTGTAAATAAGTCAAATTACCTGATTCTTACACAGAGATTTGAAAAAGTCTCTGTAGTCAAAACCGCGTTGCTCTTGATGGACGAAGGAGAGTAACCGCTTGCATTATTAATCTCTTGTCAAGTTACCAAGGTGGAGGAAGCCTCTCCAAAGAGTGTGTCAATAAGTCCAAGACGTTTCCAACTAGGTTAAGGTGTGCAGCAGATGGTACCTAGGAGGTGCCAGCTCCCGCAGCAGCAGATGGTACCTAGGAGGTGCCAGCTCCCGCAGCGACATATGGTACCTAGGAGGTGCCAGCTCCCGCAGCAGCAGATGGTACCTAGGAGGTGCCAGCTCCCGCAGCGACATATGGTACCTAGGAGGTGCCAGCTCCGCAGCAGCAGATGGTACCTAGGAGGTGCCAGCTCCCGCAGCGACATATGGTACCTAGGAGGTGCCAGCTCCCGCAGCAGCAGATGGTACCTAGGAGGTGCCAGCTCCCGCAGCGACATATGGTACCTAGGAGGTGCCAGCTCCAGCAGCAACAGATGGTACCTAGGAGGTGCCAGCTCCCGCAGCGACAGGAATACTTGTGTCTTTCAGCTGGGTGAGTGGGATGCTCTGGCAGCTAGTATAGTGCTCCGGCGGCCTGGTTGTAATATTAGTGTCAATACACCAACTGTTCTCTGAGAACCAGTGATCAAAACATAAACAAACAAATGAACAAATATAATTACACTTTACCGATGACCGACTCTGTATTTACATATAATCATGATCCATGTTTACCAAAAAGAAAAATATAAGTCTGTAAATCATCACTAATTCGTAAGGCAAATTATGAGGAATCTTATAAGGTCAGTGACGAATTGGAGTTTAAGAATTAGATACAAATTTTCACTGGAGTGTAAGACGTGTTTTTGTGAACAAGGAAATTATCTTTATCACACGAAGAAGGCAGAATAACCAGACAACTTTACGACGGTATTATGAATGTGACTATATTGCAAAGTGCTGGACCCGTGATTGTTGCAGGTAGAGTGAACCACGTCCTTCTCACTCTCCCTCCTTCCTTCAACACCGACCTTCCCTATGAAATTTACAACAGCAAGGTACCAATACTATTATCTAAAGAGGTTTCACAATCGATCAAGGTCTGGTGTATAAGACTGAAAATCCCCTCCGACAACTCTCTTGATATTCGGCCTTGGTGGGCGAGTAGGGCGGTGCAGATGAGCGGTAAAACACTCAAGACGCCCCAGCTCCGGCAAAAACTAGTGTAGGGGCCCAGACACGTGGATGGGCGAGGTCCTCCATTGTGGGGCACTCTTAGCGTCCTGGGAGTATGTAGGGAGTCCGTCGGTATAGCCAGAGGTCTTATCCTACCAGACAGGAGTCTTACGGGTGTTCGGGGGGTCCTAATTGGGCTGTGAGGTTCCTGAAACACTTAATAACTCCCGGTGTTTCAAATCCCTCGAGGGCTGGGATGTCCCCCACTTGGGCAGGGTCCCCGGTGGTCAAGTTGTGCATCAATTAGGAAGATGTCCCTTATCTTGTACACCGTCTAGCCTGCACCTCCCTCAGCCTGTAGGTGCCCCTCCCTTCAGCCTGCCCCTCCCTTCAGCCTTCACGTGCCCACAATCCCCTCCATCCTCTGCGTCCCCTTATCCTCTAGTCTTCTGTCCCCAGCCATACCACCCCATAGCCACATCTCCCATAGCCACACACCCCCAGTCAACCCCACACCCATCCCCCAGCCACACCCCCCCCCCAGCCACACCTCCCCTAGCCACACCTCCCACTTGCCAATGCCACTATTACACACGACCCTCGCCGCCACACTACCCTTGTGCCCTGACGGGTTTTTGTCCTCCTGCATAATATACGGCACGACCCTCACTCCTCAGGTGAGAAGTGAGGCACATGAGGGGTGGAGTGAGGGTGAAATTGGTGGTGAAGGTGAAGTATGTATGGTGTATGGATGTATGGTGTGTGTGTGTGTGACGAGGATGATGATGTGAGTAATGGCATGGATGGTGGTAAAGGGTTATAGTGTGGGTGAGAGTGGTGATGGTGTGCGTGAGAGTCTTGATGGTGTGGGTGAGAGTGGTGATGGTGTGCGTGAGAGTCTTGATGGTGTGGGTGAGAGTCTTGATGGTGTGGGTGAGAGTCTTGATGGTGTGGGTGAGAGTGGTGATGGTGTGGGTGAGTGGTGATGGTGTGGGTGGAGTCTTGATGGTGTGGGTGAGTGGTGATGGTGTGGGTGAGTGGTGATGGTGTGGGTGAGAGTCGTGATGGTGTGGGTGAGTCTTGATGGTGTGGGTGAGTGGTGATGGTGGGTGAGAGTCTTGATGGTGTGGGTGAGAGTGGTGATGGTGTGGGTGAGTGGTGATGGTGTGGGTGATGGTGATGGTGTGGGTGAGAGTCTTGATGGTGTGGGTGAGAGTCTTGATGGTGTGGGTGAGAGTCTTGATGGTGTGGGTGAGAGTGGTGATGGTGTGGGTGAGAGTCTTGATGGTGTGGGTGAGAGTCTCTTGATGGTGTGGGTGAGTCTTGATGGTGTGGGTGAGTGGTGATGGTGTGGGTGAGAGTCTTGATGGTGTGGGTCTGTGATGGTGTGGGTGAGAGTGGTGAGAGTGGTGATGGTGTGGGTGGAGTCTTGATGGTGTGGGTGAGAGTGGTGATGGTGTGGGTGAGTGGTGATGGTGTGGGTGAGAGTCTTGATGGTGTGGGTGAGTGGTGATGGTGTGGGTGAGAGTGGTGATGGTGTGGGTGAGAGTGGTGATGGTGTGGGTGAGAGTCTTGATGGTGTGGGTGAGAGTGGTGATGGTGTGGGTGAGAGTGGTGATGGTGTGGGTGAGAGTGGTGATGGTGTGGGTGAGTCTCAGACATAGCCCTTTAAGACATCTGAAATCCAACAAGCCACCAACGTAAGTCAGACCCTCAGACATTAACCCTCAAGGCATCAGACATTAATAATCAGATCCTCAGACATTAACAATCAGACATCAGACATTAACAATCAGATCCTCAGACATTAACAATAAGACCCTCAAACATTAACAATCAGATCCTCAGACATTAACAATCAGACATCAGACATTAACAATCATCCTAACAGACCCTCAAACCATCAGACATTAACAATCATCCTAACAGACCCTCAAAACATCAGACATAACGGTGAAGCCAATTCAATTCAGAAAGACATAACGGTCACAGAGAGAAAAAACCTAATAAACGACTTTTTTCCCCCCGACAATTTCTCGAGTTTGATACACACGAGTCGGGGAAAAAATATATAGATCAGTCCCTCCCCCCCCAAAACAAAAAATAATATATATATACTTTTCCCCGTTTTTCACCCTAATAGTAGTGAGAATTTAGTTACATTTACGAATTAGTAGTTACGAACGCCTTTAGTATATTTTCCTACAGTAATGATGAATTTTCTTTTAAGTCCAGTCACGAACGCTCTGTATTTTTTCCCATATGGGGTTTAATTAACGTATATACGAACGCTCCACATATACAGGGTCGTCAAAAAAGGCTTCCCAGATATCAATACACAACCAATTAGATATCTGGGTTTTTGATGACACTGTATTTTTTTATTCGATAGTAATGGAAAATTAACTCACATATAAGAACGATTTTAATATCCACAATGAAATACATAATAATAATAATAATAATAATAATAATAATAATAATAATAATAATAATAATACAAACTTGTTCAGAACTTTTTTTTCCAGGATTAAGTTCACGTCCTTCTCAGTTCAGTTCGTGTTGCACTTAAGAACAGTAACAGATACAGTGGTGGGTTATTTTGAGCTCAATAATAAGACTACATAAAAACCAGACTTATTTCCCCCACCCCTCACACCCCCCTCCCCCACCCCCTCCTCACCTGTCTATATAAGGCTATTACACTCTTACGCAATCTTATCACCTGTTGCCACTTGTCCATAATCTGATCGCGTGTTGAGGTTAATGAATTATTCCCCCTGTATAATAATACCGGAATAGTGCCTTAACAGTATCTCTTTCTTAGAATAATAGTACTGTAATAGCATAATAGAAAGTAATATTTGTAAAGTATTAAGTGCAAAGTGTCATCCTGTGGGGAAATAGAGAGAGAAATAACTTTAATGCAGTTCTCAATGATTGGGGATGGTGATAAGAGCAACAACGTAATGATAATATTTAGAGGAGCATAAATATCGGGTCCTGTCTACTTCGTGGTTGGTTTTGTGGTGAGAGACACATTGTTCACCTTGGCCAGGGCGAGCGGCAGGTGTGTACGGGACTGGCAGCAGGTATGTGAGGGCCAGCTGGTGGTGTAAGGCAAGGGCGTGTGTGTGTGTGTGTGTGTGTGTGTGTGTGTGTGTGTGTGTGTGTGTAGGCAAGGGGGAAGCAGTATAGCAAGAGGTCACTCGATGCCACCCCTTTCCCTTGGCGCCACACAACCATTCAAGGCACACCGCCCCACCCACCCGCCCATGTTCCTCTCACCGCCTCCTTTACCCCCGCCGTACAGTCGCTACCATTCTCCCCCTCTCTCGCAGTTCTGTTACTCTTATTATCATCAGCTCCTCCTCTTTCCCTTCATCCCTCTCTTTATAATCAGTTCTTTTCCGCCTCTCCCTTCCTCCTTCAGTACCACCAACCATCCCACACTCGAGAAAAGGCTACACCCCCCCCCCTTCCATTACCCAACACACCATCACTCACACGCCCGTTGTAAAGGTGCTCTTCCCGTGCATTGTCCCGTCGGCTCATCTCCCACCCCATCCCTCACCCTCTGCCCCACTCTGGTCCAGCGCTTCTCAACCTATTCACATGTAAACAAAGACTCAATAACGTCACTGGAAAGAATTCATTAGATGGTATTGACCGGGGTCTGGCATTATCGAGCCTCCGGACGAGATACTTGAGTCAGAGGCGAGGAATTCCATTTGCTCCAGTTTA